TTGGGCTAGTATTCCAAAGGTCGTAGGTTCGAATCCCACCGTGGCCGGGCATATTTTTCAAGCTCGCCCGGTGTGGATATGCACTCAGAGTAACATCGCAAACATATTATTCACCTGAGTACACAACACCAACACAGAAAAATCTTGTAGCAAGTTGTCAAACAAACCGTTGACAACTTGTCAACAAGGTGGGAATAAGCAGTGGGAACATATCCTGTTGACAAGTTGTTGGAACAGCATTGCTACAAGTCCGCTAGTGTATATGAAAAACTTTATTAATATTGGAATACAGTAGTGCTATAGTGCTTACCATAAAAATGGTAAGTTTTATACCAAAACTATAAGCATACTTTCATGCAAATAGCAGCAATGTGCAGACATGATATATGTACACTATACTGTATGTGTTTAGCCACTGCGGTTTTAGCCCACATATTTACTCGTAGTTGTTTTGACTTCAGATAAAACTCTCTCACCTGGTCGTGAAGGATGGGTTCCAGAGCCCCCTGGCGATGACGACGGACTACTACTCTGCGAGGATGACACGATCATCGACGAATGTAATCGACGTGATCCCGACGTTCCACGTTCGACATTTGACGACGTTCTCTTGAGCGAACTAGTACGTCTCACACCTCTAGGCGATGTACTTCGTTTCCAACTAAATCTTCTTATTAAGGAACTTTTCCTCGTTCGCTCTTCCGTGCCACTAGTAGACTGGTTACTAGCACTTCGTTTGTGGTTACGAAATGAGGAACGTTTTACTATTCGTTTACTGATTGACGTACATCGTTTTCTACCTCCACGTTTGATTGTGGTCTGGGATAGTTCAGTTGTAGTTAGTTTAAGTACAGCTTGCCTGCTGAGCAATAATTCAATGACTTGTCGATGATTTAGCCCATGGACACCCTACAACAGAACATATACAAAATAGTCTTGGTCATAAAGCACATGCCACTGTAAACAACGATAAAACCTCGATACCTTAATCTAGCTTGGACACACCGCTATCATTACAGGAGATTACGACACTATCTTAGTCTACGAACCCACAAGGAAACAGTGCGCAGGAATACAATGTCTACACATATATGGTCATTGATTTTCCCCAGGAAAGCGCTGAATGTTAAGGCAAAATGAAATTTTCAAGTGCATTCTGACCAACTCAAATTACATTGTTATCCGAATGACTGGGGACCAGTCCAAATAGTTGAACTTCTAGTTTTAAAATAATCTAATCAAAACGGACCTAATTCCAAAGGTCAATGCTATGTGGATGCCAAAATACAGTACAGTCAAACTAATCTTTAATCGGCGTACCACGGTTAATTGTGTGACTTTTTAGCGGCTGTGGAACACTGCAGTAAACGTACAACTACTAGCAATGAGTTTTTGAGCTGCAATATGATAATTAGTAAGATGAGCAGTCTTATAATATCTTACCTTGTCACCGATATGAGTGAGCAATGTTCCAGTTCTTAAGCCAGCTTCAGCAGCACCACTATCTGGTGTCACATCCTAGAAATATTTGACGTGAGCATGAGTTATCCTTGCTTTAACGTTTATAAATATATATTAACAGAGGCAAAGTCAGGACGAAAAAAGGCCAAAACCAAGATAAGACCATGTTAGGGCTTGCATGGTAACACGACTTCGAATTTTACAATACTGATTTTCGCATGTGACTTGGGTTCACGGGCGTCGCACGGGTCACTGGAATATACAACTACCTAACCTGGTTTACACTATGAAAGATTATAGGATTACAACAAACTCTGTCAACAAACTTTCACACAATGTTAGAATTGTATCCAAAGCGACAAGCAGATTGATAAACAAAACTTTGATAGTGTAAACAAGCGTTGTAGAATATTGCGTGCTGTCCTTAGCAGAGTGTAACGTTGATTTTACAAATTGACTCATTTGCTGAAAAATTGTTTCCTGAGCGTCCCAGCCGGGAGTCGAACCCAAGGTCTCTGGACATTAATGTAGTGGGACGATGTTGGTTGACCATGAAATGAATGGTTTTTTCAGTCGGGCGATCCCAACAGCTCAGTATAATTAGAGTGCTGGTACATTAAACCAAAGACCCTGGGCTCGATCCCCGGGTGGGGCGCATCTTTTCAAATGACGATCTGACATTTGGAAAGCCAACTATTGTAGAGAAGGCTGCATCTGATTTCCATCCCCATTCCTAGAGCTACGACGCCCGTGCCGTGTTTAATTCATATAATTCATATAGACACATTTTTCTAACCTTAATCAAATGATGCACAATAAAGTAATCTGAATCACCAATATACACTCGGATAGATTCCAATGAAAATCCTAAGCCATTAGCAGACTTCTTGAATGATATTGTATGTCGCGCCGTCAGTTTAATACTCGATTTACGCATAAGACGTGGAGACATTGGTGGTGACCGAGGACTCACTGGAGGACTGGAACTACAACCATCTTCCTCTGTAAACGTAAGATAAGAATAATGTATTCAAAAATAGACCAATCACCAATACAACAGAATACGACGTTGTTATACCCTAGTTCACAACTTCAATAACTCACAACAAGTTAGTTCTAGTTAGCGAAGTGTAGAAGTCCTGTATAAGCATTACTATCAAGTTCCCGAAGCATTACTATGTAGTATGATCTAACACTTTCTCCACTAAACAATTTTGCAACACTAATTTCTCAACTTGCTCGGATACGTGATGGAAACCAAAATGCTCCAATGCATACTGACATTCATCCAAAATTACCTGGTAATCGTAGTTTGGGAATTCTGTTTGATTCCTTACTTGCTTTACCTTGACCTGAAGGTAGGGATCTCAAGCGACGAAGTGGGGATTTTTGGGACTTCGTAGGTGACGAAGGAGCAGAAGTAGATGGTTCTTTTGAGTCAATCTCAATCTCTAGGGGTCTGGGCATTAGTAAGTGAGGTACGGGAGCATTTGCCCCAGTCCTTCTTGACCAAGTTTTCTGTTTAACTATTTCAGGTGGTGCGGAAATCTTAGGAGGTTCACGAGAACTGATTGAACTATGAAAGCAAAAAAGAAAGAGGAAGTATTTAGACTAGTGAAAAAGCTACAATGCTGTACTACAAGCTCACCACATTTGATAATTCTGCTTATGATAACCGTCATACTTTTATACCAATCCTCCGGATGAAGCGCCTTTTCCCGAATTTCTTCTTATTCATAAAGATTGGTTGACAAGAAGTTATAATTCTACGGTGGTTGAATACTTTCAATTACGTATTACGAAATTGCGAAACACAAACAACTACTGAGCGTGTGACGGATAAAAAATACAAAAAAGTTTTTCGCAATGTAAACTGCTCTCTGCCGGTATCCGGATGACTACCATCCGATAACATCCAGTATGCGCCAAAGCAGTATACGGCACATCCTAACTATAAAAGCAACGTGTTTGATTTCTATCTTCCTACTAATTCTCCTGACAGAAGGGCATTTGATCGAAATGTCCATTTATTTCAACTAAAGTTTGCAACTGAAAATTGTGCTTGAATCACCAGCGTTTACGAGTATTACCTCTCTCTTCCGAGATGTGATCCTTGTGGACAAAGTTTACGATGAGGTGAAGTAACCTTGTTTTCTTCAGTAGATTCAGAGCCAGTGAATGATAATCTGATAGGTTCAGTATCCAGGATACTCTCATCATCGCTATCTTGACGATCACTGAATGAATTGTTTGTGTCCGTTCTGCAAGTGAAATATGGTGAGATATTAAATTTATACGTGTTCTTAAGTGAAGTTCTTTGCAGCCTGATAGTTGGTAATTTGTTTACAAGCTACTAAAACTCACAAAATTTACAATACTCCACCGAATGGTTGGGCCCCTTTTGAGCTGCGGGCCAGGGGGGAAATGCCTATTCCATGCCCTCCCACATCCTCGGCGGTATCGAAGGAAATAGATTGAGTTTTGAAATATCACCTACTAGTACTGACTTGACCTTGTAGCCAAGTTGGTAGAGCATAGGACTAGCAAACCAAAAGTTGCGGGTTGGTCTCCCAACCGCGGTCAAGCAAACGTTTCAGCTCGCCCGGTGTGGACACACACAGAAATCATCATCTCCAATATATCTTCACCTGAGTACATACATCACAAGTTGAATGTGGTTCAACTTTCACGACATGCACAGGACAAGTTCACTGTATAGCGCATGTTCATACTGGATAATTCAGTTTTATCTAAACTGTTCTCCACGTTTCTCACAAAGGCTACAATATCCGACGGTTATATGTAAGTGACATTAAAGGATTAGTGTCATACCATGATATTGGGTATTCAAATTCCTATAGATCCATCGTATATTTGAATCATGCTTTTAGAATCCTTGCTTCTTTTATCTGATTCTCATTGGAAATGTACCAAACAAGGTATTTTTATCTTTATTTGATTTTGGGTAAGATAAAAACAATAATAAAAGCCAGCGATACCATGGTAAATTACGATTTTTACCTGCAATGCACATTAAAATTTATCATCTAATCCTATTTAACCAGTTGAAGGCGAATGACTGATTTTAAAGAGAATGTCTCATCAACAAATTGATGATTTCTCAAAATAGTTTTCCGTACACGTCTACAAATAATGTGACTGTACCTTTCTCTGAATCCACTATTATGCGACTCTGTTTTACTTCGACGACGGACGGTAGGAGGTGAGTTACTGCCTTCGCTATATGTCCGTCTGATGGTTTTCTCACTAGATTTAAGATCATGAAACATTTCCTGGCCAACCGGCGAGACAGGGGAAGATGCGAGGGGCGAAGGTGAGTTACATATTCTGGAATAACGAGGTGAGCAGGTCGAGAAACTACTGAAGTCTAACGCTGCTTGGTCTTCATCATCATCACTTTCAAGAGAATGATTGTAACGATCTGTCCGAGCTGAAAGAAATAGAGAGCAAGGATTAGGTACACTTCAACTCGATTTCGTTGGAAATATGCGTACAAACTTACATACATTATTAAAGACCTTTGGATTGATGTTTACGGCAAACGCCAAACTGCTAGCGAAGTGTTTGATATTACAACTCTATTATAACAGCTTTTACACCTGTTTCGAAATATATTAAACAATTACTAAACTTGTGCTCTTTAGCAATGGTTTAAGAAAGCAAATTAACCACTAGTCACGTATTCACCAAAGCAGTAAATTAAGATCTGGCGTCTGAAGTTGACGTTTGGCGTATAAATTTTATGCTTGAACTGCTACGAGGGCTTGTATAGTCGTTAAAGCGTGAAATTTATGCGCCAAACGTAAACTTCAAATGCTAAATTTTAATTTACTGCTTTGAATATCACAAGACTTAGTATATTTCAAAACTGGTCTAAAAGCTGTTATAATAGAGTTGTAAAATAAAAAACATCGTTATGGGGGTATGACGTTTGCCACAAACGTCAATCTAAAGTTCTCTAATGCCAGAAATTATGCTGTATTGATCACGAGGTCGGCAAACAGTAGCCAAGCTCTCAGATTGCAATAATTTC